TTCACAAGCACTGATGATGTCACCTCGGCTGGTGATGAAACGTTTGCAAACAAATTGCCAAGCTCGGCGAAAATAGAAGTTCCCGTTATCTCAGTGAAGAGGACAGAAACAGAATTGTACGAGCATACAAGCTGAGATTTTCCATATCATATCGTGCCCACTGCTTTAACGTTAACAAAGGCACAATTTTTAGGATAATCCATGGAAAACAACTACCATAACAGCTTGTGGAGGTCGTAAACGGACCACATCCAAACAGGAGGACGACCTGACTCGTATTACTCTGAAAAAACATAGCAGAAAATCGTTGTCGTCTATCCACCGGGAAGATTATCCTCGCCATTCATACTCCCTTATGCAAAGAAGAATTAAAACATTTAAGATGTGTCAGGTGTCAGCTAACGTAAAGCCAGCATTGAACGCGCAGCAAAGGCAGGCTCGTATTGATTTTTGCCCGAGAATTCAAATCTCGACGTGCGTCATTTTGGCGATCGGTTTATTTCGCCGACGAGTGCATGGTGTGCGACGAGCCTTGGAAGACTCACAAAAAAGTGATTTGTGCTGAGAATTTCCCATAGGGACCTATTCCACCAAATGAAAGAATTTCTCACCCGTCGAGATCATTCATCTGGGCAGGGATAAAACATGGTCAGCCTTGTCGGTGGACATCAATCAAAGGCACCATGATAAGTGGGAAATTTGTATCAGTAATGACGAAAATGTTTCCGGAATTTCATGAAAAAAAATGGTTTGGAAAAGTTATCATTTTTCAGGATAATGCTCCGTGTCATGTTTCATAAGAGGTTAGTAAATGTATTTAGTTAACGAGTCTGGCTCACTTATTATTTGCTTTTAGATTTCAGAAGAGATGCGTGACCCTAAGGTCCAGTTCATGCAACTTCGAATAGGACTCAAATAGGTCGGTAAACCGTGCAGACAGGGTTCCCCCTAATAGATCTCAATGTGATTGAAAATCTGTTTTCTGTTTCGAAGAGAGAGGTCAATGTGCTACCTATATGTTGGACTTTGGAGACAAAGTACGCTACGTAATGGAGCACAAAATAGAAAATGACTTCATAACAAAGTTGGTGAATTCCATGCCGAAGAGGCTTAAAAAAGTTCTAAAGAACAAAGACAGACCGATCGACTATTAGTGTACATAAACTTTACATTTTAATTATCATCAATGTTAATTTGTTGTAAATAAAAACTTTTCCATTCTCTTTAGTTACATCTTAGTTCATCATGGTCTAGGTCAACCAGTACTGACGCAATGGGAGTATCCGCTACATTCTGAATCATTCCATCTGCTGAGTATAAACGAATCAAGAATATCAACACTATAGAGACTCATCAAGGCTTGTTCATTATTACGTGGAAAAAATTTTTACTTTGATATAAATGCTGTCACCTTTACGAACCCACAAGTGTTTCACAGGGATCCGTTGATTCACTTTCGATTAGACCTGTATATATTGAGCTATAGTGATATCATTATGAAGCACAATTAGAGTGTGTACAGAAGGAAAACCTATGCTTCAAGATGTGGTTAAAAAGGATAATGTGATTTGCACGTCTTCGACCACGTACACGTGTACTGTTCGCATTTGATGGAGAATTGGAGAAATATTAATTCTGCGAGAAACTTTGAGTTCAATCTGAACTAACTAATTTCAATCCACTTTTTCATAAATAGAGTTATCCTCCTCCTTGTATTTTATACGAGATGAATTGTTCACATTAGTCGTAATCCTCCAGCCTCCCACAGAGAATTGAGCAGTTTCAGCAGCTCAAAGACTGTATTCAGCAGTGGATAGATGCAACCAGTTTCAACCCAGCACCCCACACCGTAGGATTTGATTTATCCCCTGAGTAATCAGCGTTTCGGATGGAAGAGTGGTATCATATTGTACTCTTACAGTTACAGCTGAATTTGACGTGTGCATTGTGAGTCAATCAGTGATCTGCAAGTAGTCAGTCAGTCAGTCAGTCAGTCAGTATGTTCTGTGTATGTCTATCTTTCTGTCCGTCTTTTTGTCTGTCCTACTGTCTGTCTGTCTGTCTGTCTGTCTGCCTCCCTGTTTGTCTGTCTGTCTGTTTATCTATCTATCTACGGACCAGGTAGCACAATTACTCATAATATTGAAAGCAGAGAGAAAAACTTGAAGCAATTTTATTTGTAAATGGTTCGTAAAAATGAACCCTGAACGATTTGACCGGCAAACATCTATGATCGAAAAACTGCTAGTTCATCTGAGCGTATTTCATCACGTGATCGAACAAACCCTCTTCAGATATCCACAGCTTGCATGCTTCCAGGAAGGCAACCTCACGTGTGCCACCAGTTGTTAGTCCCATCTCTGTGAGGATATTGTAAGTCGATTCAAGTGAGGGCATGTCTGGTCCTAACGGATACTGCATCTCCCTCGCACCCAAAATTGCACCGTAATAGGCGAACTGAACAAATGCTCGAATTAGAACTTCTTTCTGCTCCGGTTCTAGAGCCTCGTACAGTGGGCGTGTACCTTCACCACAATAAAAGTTGTCATCGATCAAGTAAAATGGAATATCACATCTTGATCCCTCCTCATCCACATACGGTTGAACTTGGATTCGATTCAAAATTCGATAGATTGGATTCACAATAATGTGACGACTTAGTTGCAAATGTTTTGCGTACAAATTGTACGCACACGCGCCTCGCAAATCACCGCGAATAACGTCGTAGAAATTGCGATAATTAATCTCCTCGGGAGCCTGATCATCTCGACGCCACGCGATCAGATTTTTCAAATAATCTTGGTAGACACTCCATATTGCTTCTGCATAAGGCAACTGCGATGTCGGTTTACGAAACGAATTCAAAGCACTCTTCAGATTTTTCTCCGTTTCGGTCAGGGTCCAATGATCCGAACTGTTCACGTTCAAATATTGATCGTAGGCTAAGTTCATGGACGATAGCACCACCAATGGCATATCCCGGATGCTGTGTGTCCAACCGACAGATTGAGGATGAAGCATCCCCAAAGGATTTTCTACCGCAGATTTTTCCAAATCCCGTTTGATTAACGAAGCCCGCATTTCATGGGCTTGAGGAAGCAAATACAAGTCCGCGTATCGTGAATCATTCCATGCCAATGGGGTTTTTCGTAACCACTGTTGTACAGTCAAACCATTCAAGCACTCGTACATTCGTGCAAGTGGATGACTACGATCATAGTGCTGATTTTCTCCATATTTTGCAATCCATTTCCGGCATTCTCCAGCCAGTTCTGGGTCATTTAATACCAACTGTCTAAATGCGTCCTGCGATTCACTGACATCGGGGATCACGACTGAGCCGTCTGCCAGCCAGACGTGACTGAACAGATAACGATGCCTAAAATGTGAAACGAAAACCAAAAAGAGAGAAACGCATTCAGCCATTTGAACATTCATCTTCTTCATTATCATCCTCAACAACAACATCATCATCATCATTAGCAGCAGCAGCCGCAGCAGCAGCAGCAGCAGCAGCAGTGTCTGAGGCATCTGCAACATTTGAGGTAAGAATTACAAATATGCGTATCCTTCAGAAATTTTGCAGTAACGCATGAGATCGGATCTGTATCAAGCTCTTTGCAATTTTCTTTAATGTTTATTCTAATGTTTCTAAACTCCCAATCACCAAATCCTATAATGAAATTTTTTATTCGGTGTCAATGGCCTTCGCTAAGGGAATTAGAAAGTGGCGTAAATTTCAAATGGCCCAAAATTTTCCAATCCCCAATCGCTGGTTGCCACTTGTCCTGCAGTGTATGTCCGAATGCACCGACTGGTCATGTATTCTCCGGGCCATTTGTAAATCCTCATCGGATAATTACTATCAATTCGTACACAGTTCAGCTGGTATACCTGGTAGCAATCTATCATCTTGTGGTTGGGTCCCTTGGTATTAAGAACCGGGATTCAATAAACATGATGGGACCACGATGTGCTCGGATGACCTGACAATACGAAAACATTACACAACCGTTCTGCTCGACAGTCCATGATAGATCGACTTGCGTTCCCACTGGTCTACAATCTGTTGGACGTGTGAACCACGAATGCACCTTATAATCGCAAATATGTGCTCGCTTTAGGACNAAGCCATATCTATCCCGGAATAAACTGTGCCATAATACACACACACACACACACAGGAAATAAGTTAACATTGTACTTGTTCAGGATGTAAGAAATGTCTTAGAGCGAAGTCTGATCGGGAACGGCTGAAAACAATTTCGCAGTCGTGCTAAACATTTTTTGTAAGCGTCCAAAATAAGGAATTCGGAAATTGTAGTGTAGACGTGTTACTCTCGGGGAGAACCGTCATCCTTCTATGTATTTATAGACCTAGTAAAATTTGAACTCAACTGATGGAATTACTAATGTCAGAATAATAACTGTGGAAAATGAATTGATAGTTATGACAACAGCGCAGTAAATCGATGGTGACGATCCAATACTCTGTCAGGACCATCACCCAAACTCAAACACACCTTCAGATGCCTCCTAAACACACACAAACGCAGACAAACTTCTGAGATCAGCTGCCTTAATATGACCTTGTTGGGTTTAATGTTACCTCTTTGTGATGTATATTCTAGAACTCCAAACGAATATCTGTTGCACTTCGTAAATTGATTCAATGCGCGATTGTGCGCTATTGTGCTCCAACCCAACTCATAAAGCATTTTACGTTTTCAAGAGTTTTACCACTTTGACCGGATGTGTTCAGTTTCACTTCGCACACTCTTTGAACTTATTTCTTGAGCTTTCCGGAACAACTGTTTTTTATTACAAAATGGAGGAAATGTGGACCAAAACATGAAAATATGCTAAAACTGTTGCAACCTTGTTCGGTATCATTAGTGGTGGGAATGCACCAATCAAGCCAGGATCAAACCCAGGACCTCATGGATTGAATCATCATGTCCTCCTCCTTTTCTAGTAGTATTATTCATGTACCAGCCTAATAACATTTAGGTAGTTAAACCTGTGCACAACGTCTTAACAAATATCCGTTATCACTTCCACCGACAGTGCGAAGATGTTTCGCCACAAACGATTGGTATCATTTGTCTCCTTTTATTGAACGAGCATTCGACTAATTAATTTTTAGGATGGAGAGCATTCGATCGTGATACTGTTAATGAACTCAAAGAAATGCTCAGCGGTGAGAGTGATATGGTTCAAACGCATGCCCTGCGGGGTGGACTGTATTGATTCAACGCCATTCCATGTTTCGAAGATTTACAAGCACATCTTGAACTTATTTGCTTGATATAAAATAAGTGTGTATAGAAACTGCGGGGGTTCTATAGGCCCCAGAGTTAACGTCAGCGACAAACGCAGTCCAAATCAGATCAACGGGAGATTGTAGGTCGTGTGGTATCGAACAGGTTCTTGATTTGACTGTCAGATGTAGCAGCAATGGGTGGTGGATAGAGATCAATCCGGTTCGGTAATGGTTTGGAATTGGTTCTAAATGAAAACTAATTAGTAGAAAATTAGAAGAGCAACATACAACGACCAGGATTCAGATGACTGTGAATCAGCCAGGTATTGGGTAGTCTGTATAATCAAACGGTAGATGAATAAAGTAAACTAACGCATGTTCATACTGGCTATGCCAGTATACAGTTCAGAAGGACTGAAACACAGAGAGGTCAGGAGTATACCAAAACTGGCGGTGAGTTAGGCCGGTAGACAGTCCGAGGAAAAGCGGTCAGTGATAGCTAACAAGCACAGGTGTATGCGAAAGGCCAGATCGCGAGCGGACGCCATCGACCGGAGGACGATGGACAGGTAGAAGGGGAACCAATCAGACTTGAGTGTGGAAATTCACATGCGCACATCATCGGTAATTCAGTATCTCGCAGCTTTACTTAGAGCATACAGATCAGGCAGGAAGAAACGAAACAGAGGAAATAAATAAATGTGGTGATGTAAGGAAATGGAAGGAGAGAGTGAGTAAAACAAACGCAACCCGGTTTTAACGCGCTGTCACTAGCGAGCGGCCTTGATCGAGCGTCAATGCGCTGAATGTTACTCAGTGGTAGATATGTATCGAGTCTCGTTGAATCCTTGTGGGTACCCAACAAGGTATATAACCTTCAGTGCTTCGTTGACCCCTGTGATGTGTTTCTATGCTATTGCACAGGATGAGTCACATTTCTACCGATTTGTTTTTCTCTCTGTCGTTGTTCCTGCTGTGTCCACTGGCATTCAAAACTCGTTTGTGTTCATTTTGATCGAAAACGAAAATTGCCATACGTACTCAAGTGAACATGATTTATCGCAAGTTGGAAACTTGCACGGTATAGTTTCACCTTGATCCAATGGTAATTGCTCATTTCTCTATGTTTCTATGTGACAATACAATTACCCAGTCACATGATCTTTCATTCAAGAAGTCCTTTCTGACACCCGTTTTGATTTGATTTGTCTATATCAGCACTGAATTGAAAAATCAACGGATGTGGTAAAATTATTTTTCTGATGTTGGCTAATCAACCTGTGTTGACAGGTCAGTTTCACGTATTCCTGTTGTCAGAATTACAAATGACCAATATTTTCGCACCATCTTCTAGTTATTCGTTTTATTTTTGTTCTCAGCTTAGCTATAAACTCTCTGAAAAATGAGTCACCGGAATATCCTATTTTCAGTTGTCGCATATATCACTATTTAGTAACTTTGTGCGTCTCACAGCATTATAATTTCGTCTGGAACTGGTCTTATACGTGTTTGTGAAAGGAATTACATCGTTCGGTTTTGCATGTGTTGCTCGAATCGGTAAATCGAAAATCGGTATACATTGCTTATAGTTTCAGCAAGAAAGAAATACATTTGAATCTACTTAGTTTTATCTGAGTGAATTATGACAATGCATGCTGAAAGTTAGACATCCGAATTCCAACTGATCCTTCTATAATTTTCACCTTCACTCATTCAACAGTTTCTTCAGTCAATTTTACGCTTAAAATGCACCAGACTCCAGTTTTGCTCTTGTAATAGCACTTCAGTGGTGCCTGTCAACCAGCCCGGCCGGGACTTGAACCTCAGACCCATCGTATAGATTGCGTTAATGACGACTGTGCCAATTGGCAAATACTGGGGATGGCTAGGATACACAATTCCAACTTGTTCAGATGTCATCCTTAAGTAATAAACTATAATTAAGTGCAAGCTGTGAACCTGGTATTGCATTGATGTTTAATTTTGTGGTTGTTATTTTGTAGTTATTGTTGTGTGCTAATGGTGTGACAGTTATCCAACAGCTTTTGTACACACTACTTTTCTAATTCCGTTATTTTTCTTTTCTCATTTCTTCCTTCTCTTTTATGAACTCAACGTTTAACAGTTGTTTTAACCGCCCTCCTGTTTACCCGCTCGGTATCTTTGTGGTCTCACTCCGTGAATTGCTCTATTATTTGTCGTTCAGTAACTCGTACCTACGACGGTCTCGTAAGGCGTAATTCTTTCGGTCTCAGAGTCTGTAACACCTGGAACTCTCTTCATCTTCAAGCTGTTTGTGCACCAAACCATCGATTCACTCAAGTGACGACTGGATGAAGCATTGAACCACCTAACTATTAGTAACGGATAGACCCAGATTCGAATGTGATGTAAAAGAAGTGGTCCTCCGACAACAACTCTGCGAGGCCGACGCTAAGCAGAGATTGAGTGCAACAGCGATACAGAAGACGCAGCATCCCGGTGTTCCAAGACAAGCTACGAGGAAAGGTTGGAAACCTATCTACGAGAGAGTGTACCCGAAGTGGAGAGAACTATCCGTACCCAGGCATGACAGTCTTCATGGCTTAGAATTCCCGCGGTTGAAACTCATTTCTTTCGATGTAACCGCTACCGAATATTGGCGTTACAAACGGCAGTTCGACAGCTTCTTCGCTAAACTCTCTTGCGAAGAAGGTATAATCTGGTTTATCTGTTACACTAACGTAAAGGAGTAGCTAGAGAGACAATAGAACCGTGCATGCTAACGGCAGAGGAAGATGGATATCAAACATCCAGGCAGATGCTCGACAAATCATTCGATCGACCTCACGAAGCATTCAGGGCTATTGTGGCCTGCAGTCGAGTGAGACGCTAAACGCCTCTGGGGTCCTCGGCCTAACACGCACGTGAGCGCAACTACAACTAGACCAACATCAACATCATTGCAGAACTTTCAGTGCCCTTTGGACGTGAAACTACACAACTCACTGAACCTTTGGTTCACTGTCCTCAGTGCGTCGGAGTCTAAGCTTCTGGGGGGAATCATCCCATCCTCGTCACCGAAGTCGTGATGCCCAACGGCACTCCGAGCTTACGGATTTATGTGGCTTGTCACC